TATTGTAATGATAAGAAAATAGTGACTCAGTGTAATTTTCATACTTACTCGCAGAATAGTAAACCTAGTTACTGCAATGGAGGACGAGTAGGTACTAATTCATATTTTAATTTAATAGAAAACTTCATAGGTATTTATTTATCATTTTATGATCTTCCATTATAAGCATTCAATATTGAAATTTATCCAGAAATTGTTTTAGAATCAATACTCGGTTACCTCTGTCTAACATATTTTAGACTTGCACTGCAAGCTGAATAGCTGTTATATTTGAAAAGGACCTATTACAGTGAAAGTAGAAATATGAAGGCATATACGTTTGTACTCAGGAAAGTCAATGTATGAGACGCCTTCACGTGCATCACATGACAACGTTAGGTACATCTGTGGTGTATGGTATATAGGCGAGGGTTGCCACTTTCCGATTGCATATCATTTTTTCAGTTATAAAAAGAATCTTTACCCAGTTGTGGAATGACAATGAAATGGACAATGAAGTGGAAATACTTACTACAGTTTCTTTTTAACTGTACCATCAATAATATTGCTTGTTTGAAGTATTTAGTAATTATGACATTAAATAATATTAAGCATGTGCTCCTATGGATAGTGTGTTCATGTTCACTAATTACAATTAAGAAACGCACCCAAAGGGGATTACTATCAAATTCATGAAATTAACTTTAGTTAACTGCCAGCGTAATTTCAACTTCCCTATATACATTTCGGATCTAATGTGATATTAATGATATTCGCGCTAATTTGCCTGAGGCCGCAAAATGGGGTCATAGCAAGTTTTAACCGTCTAAATAATTAGGAGCTGGTTGGTCCCGAGCGGCGACTGTGCATGCTAAGACTTCAAGTCATAGTGATAATTAGTTTGTATAGTCGTTAGAGCAGCATCGTGCAGTAAGCTTCTATTCTACTTGTTGGAATTACATAAGTTGCGACAAGATATTTTGACCATTCATAGATATTGATATCTGTTCTACACTGATAAAATGATCATCTTATCAGTATAGAACAGACAAATTTATATAGTTGATGGCCTCGGTAGTCTACCGGTTTTAGCATAATGCTTCCCGATGATAGCGGGTTCGATTCCTCGCACGGTACAATCATTTGTATTCTTGAGTATGATTGTTTGTATCGATCTGGGTGTTTTCTATGTAGTTAGATTACGTATGTATTTACAAAAAATATATATCTAAGTAGTTTTTTATGCGCATGACTTAAAAAAGTGTCTACCAAACTTTTATTAATAAAGTTTGGTGTTTTATGTCTGTCATGCGCCTAAATTTGAAGATTCCGGTGTTGATGCTCTCCATGTTGTTACTTACTGTGATGAATCTGGAACCTGTCACCAAAGCTGTATATTCAATGTTGTTTCATAAAACAACATATTTTTATCTTATCATGTCTACGTTTATCGTTTAAAAACTCATTAAATGATAATCATAGATACATTGTTAACAGCTAAAAATAGCAATTAGGATCAATAATAGGTTTTATAGGAATGAGTTTCTGTTTTTAATTGTATAACCTAACTGTTCCATGGGTTCTGTTATATCTTAGATTTATATTGCATACGAACTCCATTCTCCATATTTAGATATAGGTAAATTTCAGTGTTTTATAGAAAAATATAAACTTATAGTGAAGCATCTAAAGTGAGACAAGTCGGTTACACTTGTTTCTCTCAATAATTTTAATTAAAGTGCCGTTATTGTACACTTGCACTGTTTCAGTGTTATTTTGATTATTATTTAGTAGTTTCAATTATGGTAATATTCAAATAAATGGTTGCAATTATAGCGTTTACTTCACTATCGATTAGGCGGCTCAATATTAATTATTAACATTATCATTATTTTATTTAAAAAAGGACCCAAAATAAGTTAAATTATGAAAAGGTGAGCAATACTTACAAATTTTCATTCTTAACTCATTACATTATTATGTTGATTATATTTTTTGATAACGGGACGATTTCCTCTACCTATATTAAAATTGAAATCGATTACCATATAAAGAAATAAATAAACAAGAGCAATAATTTGTCACATATGTTTATTCCCAATCTTTGGACCCTATAATGCTTTAAAACTAATAATAACATAAATACAACACTGCCATAAGTTAATTATTGAAATTAGGAGACTTCATAGCCATTTCACTGAAATATTATATTACGTCATCTATGTAAAACCAATTTATTTGAGACATCAATATAAATACAATTATTAATTATTCAAAGTTAGCAAATTCGTTTTACAAGAGGACGTATGAAAGCAGATAAATCTACAAAGCAAAGTTCTAAAAGCTCAACCGTCATTTATATCTAATTTCAGTTATCCTAAACTAGACACACCTATAAATTTTAGTACTAAATTTTGAATATTACAAGAATATTGACAGAAATTACAAGAAAACATATTGTGTAGATTGTGAGAAACAACAAGTTGTACCATAAATTACTGTAAGATATAAATCTGTCAAATTAAGACCAGTTTCCATATTAGCTGCAGTATATGTAGAATATAATAGTATATTAGTATACTTTAGACAAGTCTATATATTCATATACCTATGGATACTTTGGAGACTTGGAGCAACTGGGCTTCGTTTTTGCGATTTTCAAACAGGGTTGTCAGTTGAATAAAAACTTCGATTGAGGATGAGCTCAAATTTATTTGAATTAACAATGATGTCTCCAATGCCACAATACTCCATGAAGTAAGAAAAGAAATTAATGAACATCTATAAAAGTTGTAATAATGATAATTAAGCTAAATATTTATCACTATTTTTACAATGTCATTATGTTCTTAAACCACAATAACACTTTACCTCTGCTCTAGAAGCATTTAAATAATCCAAGTCACACAAATCTAACAATTAATTACTATCTATATAGTTTGTATGGTTTATTTTAATTGCTCGATATACAAATAAGTTTCGGTGATCCGCTAATGTGTCACCGAAATTAAACAATGACATTAATACTGAATCCAAACGGACTGTTAAAATTAATTTGGTAAATAAGCCATATCGATTTATTTAGTCTAAAATAATAACGATAAAAATAATAATGATTAAATTCTATAGCCATTAGTGAATAAAAACGAACTTGCGCGACACTACTCGGGTACTATACGTAAATGATCCACATTATATAACACAATCTAATCGACATTATATTAACGTACGAAAACAACACTTAGTATGTATTTGATACTCCAAACGATTATTTTGTTTCTTTATTCTATTCATATGTATTTCTTAGAATAGTATTTAACTAAATTTATTAAGGGGCACAAGAATTGATATGTTTCCGATGCACGGCGTTTGTGTGATACCGTTTCACTTAACCTAACTTGCAAGGCGATGCTACACCCCTACTCTACCCTATCACATGCGGGCCAATGTCACGCGTCTTGCAATCACGACGATCCAAACACCATCACCCGATTTCACAGTAAACGTTAAGAAAATATTTAGTTTTCGTATCTGTTTCGATATTAAAACGAGAAGTATCCGGAAATTATTTAAGAGTTAAATACACAAAATGCAAGCGATTGTTTTGTAACACAAACTCTATTTGGATTTAGCGTGACATGTAGCCGATTGCATTACAAGTAATAGACGAGAATACAGAATAAACGTCTCTATGAAACCGCTCTTTATTCCTAATTACACATTAATATTACACGATGATATGTATCGAGTAGTCCCGCAAAAGGTGACGTAGCCGTGTCCGCAGCCACTGGACGTCTCTTACTCGCTATCTACGGTTGTTGGACGGAATCATGGCGGCGTAGGCGGCCCTTACGCTTTCAGCATATTCCATCCGACATGTTGGAACAAGCGCCACTTTGTCGTACATTTGTGTTATGCAAATGGCGGATGGAATAATGCGTACGAACCAAAATTTTTAAGTCAATCGATGGTTCTATGAGAAATAATATAATTATTATATACTCGGAATAATTGTTAAGAGAGAGCTGTGTTATTTCATTCACTAGAGCCATCGATAGACCAAAATTGTGACAACAGAAAAGAAAAAAATAAACTTTTCGTTGTATTTTTAGTCTGCGAACGAGGACGCCGTACGCCGAAGGTATGGGAGATCACTACTACATTATTACACAATAATTACTTACATACGAATTAGCATTATATCGAATTAAATAAGTAAACATTGACTTAGCTTAATTATTAAAACAGACAATGAATTACGCATATATAAGAGAATATGACATTTAATTTACGCGACACAGTTTATGTCACTTTACAATTGTATAAATTTCATACCAATTTAATGAGATATATCAACTTAACAAACTTTTAAAATATACAGATAATTATTGATTACGATAATAGCAATGGTAGGTAACAATATAAAATAACTAAAATAGTTTAGTTGATGCCCTAGTCTGGTTTCACCCGTATTATATATAGACAACGGCCTCAACTTTAGTAAAAATAAAGTTTGCATCGTAACATCGACCACGAGCTAATAAGAAACGTAACTTATGGAAATGTTATTACCAGTAAGTAGTACAAGTTTGCCTACAAAATATACGAGTTTGGTACGGTCTGAGGTTAGTATTAAATATTATGTAGTATTTATATTCTTTATCTTTGGTCTATACGCCACGACGTCGGTACATTGTGAAGTTATAGTTACTATAAACAACGTATAAAATTTTGCTAAGTCAAAAATTGACGAAATTTCTATTTAATATTGACTAAGAGATTTTCATAAGAATTCACATGCGGAATCTCCGGCCGGCGACCGCTGTGCGTGCGCTGGGCGCAGACGGTCGCTTGAATACCTCATAGATATCTGTCGCGTCAAGATTTTAACCCAAATATCCAAAACCTTATTTATTATAGCCTAAGCAGGGATATTTTTTTTTACTTTTTTTGTATAATTTTTACATGTTTACATCAGCAGAATACGTTTCTAGATACCTATTAGATTAGATTACTATTCATTTTTGGTTTATTGCTATCTCGCACTGATGTGTACTTATGTCGTCACTGTGTTTTCATCAAACATTAAGTAACTAAGTAGTCAATCTGTATGCGATAGTCAACTAGCTAAAAATAAAAAATATATTAATCTTCCATTTGATTAATCCTAACACATCAGTAAATTTAAAAATTCATTACATGGTTTCATTATTATGTATGAATAACTTTCATTAAATAGTAATGTAACTATGCTGATTCTCTACAATAAATACCCTTATCTAAATTTATCGACCTAACGATTACACAATAAAAGTATAACTATTAAATTTTAAATTAGATTATTACCAAAAAGCTCGTCAAAGCATGCAGATAGTAGAGTAATTGTTTTACTATTCAGCGTTGGCGCGTATGACGCCACGTAATTACTATTAATTAATATAATGATTACATTTAATTATTTAACTCTCATAAGGCCAAGGCTAAATTCTCGCAACAAGACTGAACTTTCTCGATTGTGTCGCATCGCATACTAATCGCAGAGACAACGGGATCAGTAGGTAAAGTTTCACAACGAACTTCGTTGAGGAACTCCAAGAAATTGAAAATGTAATCACGAAAATTTTGTTTCAATCGTAATTTCGCAAGGCACAAGAAATTTTGGTGTGTTTATAAAGGTTTAGGATGGGAAGGGGATGGAGTTAAGAATACAGTAGGATATAATGGATGAACTGGACAGAATACGATGCGAGTGAGTGATGACAGTTCAGTGATGCATTGCACTCCACAGCAAGCGCACCGAGGGGCGACCACGTCCTTTCGCGTCAAGTCAGTAAAATTTTTATATAATTATTGCAATAAATCCATTTACAGATAGAAAGGATAGTAAGACCAACACTAGAGTGCTAGCACTTTAACGAGTGATTGAACATTATAAAAATTACTAAGAAAGTATTAGGTAAATATAATTTGAAATAGTCATGAAATTCATTTAAATACGCTAACATTATTGAGGCTAAAACAAAAGTATCGTAATAATTACATACAACTTTATTAAAAATCATTTAACTTGAAATATTATTTAACAAAACGTAATCTTTCTATGAAGGGCACCTTTGGTTTTTAGCTTAATCGAATGAGATAATATCCTAAAATGTTTAATTTCTGGTTATACGCTATATTCATAACAAATCCTCTCAATTGTATACATCGGCTTTGTAGAAACAAATATAAAACATTCTAGTATAATAAGTTAGTTGTAAATAAATCTTATGTTACACAATAAAATGAATAATATTAAATAAATACAGTGATTACGTTTACAAAAGATAAATTTCAAATTATATTACTTTAATTATGAACGGTAAACAATAAAACTGGAATGTTAATAATAATACAATCAACAATTGCTAAATTTGGTATAAAAGAAAAACACACCACTCCTCTGACGCCGTTTGTATAGGAAACAAAACTAAAAAGGCGATAGAGCTTAATATAAAAATGTATACTCTACTAGTAGGTTTGGTTTCTCAAACCCATGTGTCTTGATAAGATGTTAGTAGAAATGTGAGCATACGTTGTAGGTGTTGGTAGCTCCATCCCCTGTGGTAGTTCCGATGCGATTCAGAGGATCCAGATTGCGCGTCCCTCAATTAGCTGGTTGTCAAGTGCCGAGAGCCACGAACGAACTAATGTTGTTCGCCCTCTTCTCCGCCTTTGGCTCCCTATGAAACATTTTATAAATGTATTGCAAGCTGCTTATTAAATTATTAATGTCTTTATCGAACTAGGTATTTTTTTATATTATATGCAGGCAATTAGAGCTAGTGCAGGGTGCATCGGTGATACATTGTTGTTATTTTGTTTTAATTATAAATTGTAACTTTGGAACCTGTCTCAATGGGAAAAGATGCAATTTTATTGAAATGCTATTGCAATATATGGTATTTATAAAAAATAATAAAGTAATATTTGTATATTATTACTATTGAGCACAACAGACCGTACTTTGCATTTGTCGGCTTGAGTAAAATATTACAGAATACCCAGGATCCAAAGCTCATTTTACATTGATATTACACAGATCCAGATAAAGTTGCCAGTTGAATCTCTGCCATATCACTGTACTATAGATGTGCTCGTGCATACTTCATGTGAAAGAATCCAGCCGTTGTGTGCCATCTTATGCCTTGCGTATTCGAGATGGATGGCGCCCTCGGAGCTGAGGAGCAGCGCCCCTTGCAGACGAGCGAGTGCGGTGCCGGCGTCGGCGGGGCTAGCGAAGTCGACAAAGGCCACCGGCCCCGAGCTGCCGCCGTTGCCGCCCGTCAGGAGTCGCAGGCGCGAGAAACCGGGGCAACTGTACCACCATACTTAGTTGTGCCCGCGCCCGTAAACCCACAGTATTTTGGTATGTGTATTGGTCACAATGCCAGCGTACATATGCCTACTTATTCAATGTGTTATGAAATGTGTACTTTAGAGTGTAATTATATTGACGTAATTAGGTGTGTAAAGAGTGTGAAATTAAAAAAATAGACGACGACAACATAATCTTAAGTTACAAGCTAACTCTGTAATATAAGCCAGAAACTAATTATACATATATATATATATATATACTATAAGAAAAAACTCCGTGTCAATTATTGTACTTGTTTACCTAATCAATACGTGATAACGTGAGAAGTAGTTTAAATATATGTCATCTATATTTTACGTCAAATATACATTACAAATGAATGTGTTTATTCAGTACGTGTTACTTGATAATTAAGATAGAAATTGTGCGACATTTACATACCTGTTTGCAGTACAATTGTAACATTTACGAAAATTAACTTGCGTGTAATAAGAGTGCTGATTATATACGACTAGTTTGTGATAATAATATGTGTAGTACGTTATCGACATTACCGAAAAATTGAATTTAGTATCTACTAATATGAACCTATGTTATGTAAAAAGAAATAATATTGATCCAGTTATAAAAGTAACATTATTATTTTGAATTCAATGAATATTAGTAAAAAACTTGCTATTGATTTGGATCTCTCGTGTTCAATCTCATTTATAAGATGTAGTTGACTTAGAATACAGAAATAGATAGATTCCATAACAGTAGGTATTAAACTTTAGTTTTCGGTAAGCCGATAACTTGATTGTCATGCTCAGGGCGGTACGGGTGCAGGCTGATATTCTCACACAAACGTTATGTAAGACAATGGTTATTACACAATATCAGATAACAGAATGCGAATTGGTTGGTGTGAGACATTTTAATAATAGCAGAATCCAACGACGTTCATGTGATATTTGGTGCGACATGCACGGTGGAGAATTTATTATATGCGTACTTATTACTTATACATTTCGAGTTATATTCCTGTAGTAGACAATAATTTTGTACTTATAAACGTAGTCATGCGCATATTACTAGGGAATCCAATTTTAAAGACGGATCAGACACAATGCATAGTAGAAAACTGGGTTTTTATATTGTTTATACCTTCTTAGACTTATTAATTTTGCCATTATTTGGTAAAGAAATTATTAATGTATTTAGAACCATATATGATAATGTACATGCTAATATATTTCAATGAAATAAACATTTAAAATTGGATTCATATCTGCGATTTATGGAATATTCTTTGACTGAGAATAATATTTTTTTTCAATATTCGTGTAGAACACAATAATAAATTTGTCGTTAATCTCAGTCAGCAAATAAGCTGATATAGATTATTAATTTTATAATATTAATTGAATAGTGTACCTGCTGAATATTTCTTTAAGCTCGTGTTCTGACACGAACTGGCCAAGGTTGGCAACGAACAGCGTAGAGCAGGGAGGCGCAGGATGCGCAGGGTGCGCGGTCGGCGCCGGCGCATGCGCGGGCACGGCCGCGCCCGGAGATCCTAACGCTGGTGCTGGTAGTACGCAAGCTCCCAGCGTCAGAGGGGTCTAAGCAATAGTTAAAATATGTCCACATTTTATATACAGGGTGAGAGGCATGACATGTTAATCCTCTGGAAAACAACACGGGTATTAAATGATAACGTGATGTCCGTAGTGCTGTTCTGTATATAGCTTATCATTTAGTGGATAGTCATATATGTTTGTAATTCCAATTATATAAAAACATATAAAAAAACGAATACAGATAAATCACGTTGATTACGTTGGATACAGATTGTTTATAAACACATTATTATTATGATGTTAAATATTTCATTTTATACATTGCGATTTTCAACAAATGCATAAAAGTTATAATGAAAACTTACGTGGTGTGGCCTATCGGCGGCAGCTAGTCAGAGGTAAGAGCGAACGGGCGCCATCTGCGGGTGGATAGCGGGGTGCACCAACCCGTGCGACAACGCCGGTAACTCTCCTCCGTACGCCAGTGGGTGATGCCACAGCTCAGCTCCTCCGCCAGGGAAGAATGGACTCGCTAGGTCTGTACGCACATGTATAAAATCCGTCACATTTTACTCAAATTCTCAACTTTAAATATATGTAACTTTTTACTGTAATAATAAATACTGCTAGAAAAAATATTTACAGTGTGCTTATGACATGTTTTCACGGTCCAGGTAAAGGACGTAAATATGAATATGCAAAATTTTGTAAGCTTAAATTACGTAAATTATATAAAATATGTTTGGTGTGATTATACACTAATATAAATATATATAAATTTCTAATTATACTCGATATAGCCCAAATCAGCCCATGAAGTACATAAGGATATCATATAAGTGTTAACATGAAAACATGTAAAAAAAGTTGACGATAGTGTTATAGAACCCGACAGATAAATCGTTATAGCTTCGCGGGGCTAGGCCTTGCGTGGTACGTGTAAGCGTTCACAGATACTTGCCCATTGCGTTTGCTCGACACCCCATTTCAATCCTTTATTATCTATCGAATTTTCGGGTAACAACAATAAGGACACGAGTGTGAGGATAACCACAAACATGGATCGTGAATTTTCTTTAGTAGTGTAATCGGTATGATGCTGAGGTCTGGTAGGAGTGCCGGGGCGGTCGAGCTAGCGCCGGGCGGTGTGTGCGTTCGGCGGTACTTACGTCCAGTGAGAGGGTGCATCAATGCGGGGTGTGTAGCTGGCGCGGCGGTGGCAACTGCCGGCTTCGGCTTGCTGACCTTCGTGTTGCTTTTAGCGAACTCCAGCCGAATCGTTTGCGGCATGTCGGGGTCGAATCGGACGCCCTGCTGTGAACAGCCGCGAGCGGTGCGGCGCTCCGATATAATGACCATGGAAGGTTCAGCTTTTGTGTGCTCCCAGCAGATACGTGTATTGCCCACTGAGGCAAGTGACGCTCGCGTGTTGGGAGGACTTCGGGATGAGGATACTGCATTTGGATAGACTAAGGGTTTCCTAACCATTTGCAATATCCCTGAAAATGTTGTCTTTCGAATAGAGTAACCGTTGAGTATGTTTGATATGGCGTTTCCGAAAATATTTAAGATGAGTAACATTATTGGATGATTTACTAATAAAGTCCGCGCCCGCGCCTGCTAAGGTGACGGAACACTGTGCTCGGGATGTGACATCAAAACCTGTCAAACAGTGACATGCAGTTGCGTATTTACACCGTAACGTAATTGATCACACTCCGATGTCGGATAGCTCAGTGTCTCCACTTGATGACCGGTTGTGGTCTGTCGATATGTGCATAGGTTTAGCATAACTTACGATGCGGTTACTCAAGTCAGGAAAATGTTATTTCAAGTCTACAATGAGAATATTAACTATAGTGCTCGTTGGCTGTGTCGAGGCATGTGATGAGAAGAGGTTTAGTAACACCGTGCGTCTTACATGTTTTAGTATTTACAGTAGCATAAAAGTAGATTGTATGTATCGCGTATCTCGGTCTATTAAAGAGATACTGTATTGAATCAACATGTGATATAAAGCCATTCATATTACTTAGGCGTTAATATCGTGTATGTGATTTTACTTTACTTTTACTGTGTTTATTTTAGCAATTTTTTAAGGTACGGGTAAGTATGTAATTAGTTTAAAATATATCTGTAATAATATTTAAAAAATATCTCTGCTCATCTACGCCTTTAATCCTTTTTTGAGATGGTTCGTATATATACACGTTCTAAGTATATATTAGAAAAATCTCAACAAATGAATATGGTATTTTTAGAATACATAAAGCATTTGATAATACCAACCTGAAGATCTTGTTTAGCAGCTTCTGCGCCAGCTCTAGTGTGGAACGTGACGAAACCCACGGGCTGGAAAAATATTGCTCTATAGTAAAATACATAGGTATCAATATGCAATAACTACTGCATATGTCTTTTTTTCACATATTAACATTATTAATGAAAACTTCACTACTTATTAATTGTCAATAGTGCCTATAAACTGGATATAATGTATATCAGTATACTAATATTAAAACGTACTATTAAATAATCCATATCATAACTAAATACAAGCCATAAATAAATGGAAAATTGTTTTAGTACAAATAGAGTTTTTACAGAGTAATTAATTACTGAGCAATGTCATTTTTATAAGCAGGCAGGCTAATGTAAATAAATTAAACCAATCAATATAAATCAATCAGAACAAAATCCAAGGATTATGAATGAATTGATTATAGGATTACTTACCGACGCTGTCTTTCCATTCTTGCTGGTAACCTTTAACAGCGAACCCTCGTAGCCCTGCGCAAACAAAACAATATTAGAGCTTAAAATTAAATTTATTAGATTAAAGATTATATTTATAATTCTATTCCATCAATTTAAGGTCACAAAGAGTAATTTAGTTATAACGAACAATGTGTATGTGATTTTTCACTAATATTGCATTTTAATGGAGGTTTCATCACAATTACTCATGGTATCATTATTTTCATTACATCATAGCGACATTCTATTCAAAACGATTTGTGAGGTTTAACTACCAAAAAAATGGTATCCTTCCGCGCTTGGCACCGAGGAAAACACGCGATACACTAAAACTAACCCTCGGTTTAGCTTTAGCCACCTTTATGTTTGCGGTGCCATCCGTACCAGTTGGGGATCGAGTGTAATCCCCGTTATCGGTAGACAAAATCGATTCAATCCGAATATTACGAATCGGAGCATGACATTTGATATTTACGACGCAGTAATCCGAGTCGGGATCTTCTCGTCGCGTGACGGAAGCGATGTTGCTCTATGTTTTATTTTCTCTTGGGGCAAATATTTGGACAGTTCAAGTAGAAGAATTTAGTATCTATTTCTTTTCACGTACCTCGTAGTTTGATACTTTATTCAATTCACGAAAATATATTGTTTTTCATGTATTAAATTTAGAACCATTAAATCTGAACGTGTCTTTTTTGAAAAAAGTACTACAAGTTTTTTTTGTTGCTTTTTGTAATTACAATCGAATTTATTAACATTTCAGTTTAATTTTAGCGACATAATATCGTGGCATAGCGTCTCACTTCTGGCAATATATATGTTTTAATTTTTTCCAAAAAAATCACCATTAGTTCGGATAGTTTTACAACTTTAAAGTCAACTTATTATGCCGAGTGTAATTAAGTACTCTTTAAAAATTACATTGTCATACTGTTGATATGACCCTGATAATCATTTCTATAAATGTGTAATAATTTATTCTACATCGGTAATTTTTTATTACCTTAATTTTGATTGTACTAAACAATACAGTAATAACAGTATATACTTGTACACTAATACAATATATTTGTAGAAGACTTAGTAGGTATAATACTTTCTTATCGATTACCTAGCCACCCTATGTCACATCACACATCGGTTGTTGTCTATCCAGCTGCTTGTCCGTATAGAAAAGGGTGGCTCCCTGACCGCGGAATATAAGCCTAGTCACTTCGTAGATATTAAAGAAAGAGGTGTAAAACATGTACATATAGTAACCGATCGGTAACATTGAGGTAGATTTTGTATAGATTCGTCTGGGTTACCTCTGTCTATCTATTTCAGCCGCCAAACATAATATAAACTGTGTTTCAATTTAAGGGTGAGATAAGGCAGAAATTACAAAACAAGATGTAAAATGTCGGAATGGCAATGCATCAGTGGTATCATGGATATCACATGCTAAAGTAATGCTATTTATATATATATCAGTTTGCTTGATTGCTATTCTAATAAGTAAAAAGCTAAATTACATTATTAGTCAAATAATAGAGTTGATTTTTACCTCGTATGCTCGAAATAACAGATACAGTTCTCGAGGCTTTGCATCCATCGGTAGCCCACTGACAAACAATGTCCGCACCTGCAACAATACAAAAATATAATTTACAATAACATATTTTTTTCGAATATATGATAATGTACATATAGTATAAGGATTAATCTTATATATAAAATTCTCCTCCATACTCCTCCGAAACGGCTTGACCGATTCTCATGAAATTTTGTGAGCGTATTGAGTAGGTCTGAGAATCGGCCAACATCTATTTTTCATCCCCCTGAATGTTAGCTAGTATTTTGTATAATATTATTTATTATTGACAAATTTTAAGTGTTACTGATGAGATGAAGACTGTAAAAAGTCGTTATGTAGGTATTTCAATCTCACCTACGATATTTCGGCTGCCGAGTAACGGTTTCAGTTTTCCGGTGCCAATAGGCAGTGTAATTATGAGGCATCTTAGTGCTCTGGAATGGCAACACATGAGTTCTATTGCGGATGTCACATGGTAACGTGATATCCGTAGTGCTGTTCATGTATATGGATACCGTTTATCATCAAGTGTCAGCTTGTTTATCATTACATTACAAAATGTTCACATTAATATAGAAGCTCTACAGATATTAATTAATAATAAATAATTTTGTAAATAGTAACAAGACTTAATTAAAAAAAAAATAGGTGCGTATAAGTGACGGAAAATTAAAATGTAGGTAATAATAAAACATCTAATTTCAGATTAGCCATTAACGTTACTTATTTTTTATGAGGAAGGCTATTTTGAGTTTCAAACAAAGACAGCGACGTTTTTCACGAGCCGCCACAAAAGGGGCATAGAAATCTTTCAATGCCCTCTTCCTCGATTCTTTGGGCTTTGTAAACAGTGCAGCACATTAATTCGGTGGGTCCATTTAATGAAATAAAACAGCTCGTAATGGTGGCGCGATTTGGCGCGTGCGGGAAATGGAGATTAATAGCTGGCAACACCGGCCTCCCAAATGCTAGCGCCATCTTGTTGCACAGTTTATTTATGCGTCTGAGTTTCACATATAAAATTTAATTTAGAATAAAAACCAGCCAATAAGTATGATAGGTGAAATAGAAACACATTTATTCCAAATAAACATCATTTTAAGCAATTTTTGAAATCAAATGTAACTTCTATAATAGACAACGATAGATTACAAAGTTTTGTAAAAATTATGAGATCAATAACATCGTAGAAAGCGTGTAGTGTTGAAAATATCAATAACATTTAGTTTCGGTAGTTCCTCAATTTCACAAAGAATCGATGTTCTACAACTGTTAATCAATCAATGATGGATTCGAATGATATGACTGTATAATACCTACGTAATATTTTGTATCGATTTTGGCGATTCTTTTTGTCGTCATAAATATGTCTTTTAAAGTTGATTACTAGTCAACGAATTAACATCTTTTCATAATTCGAGACGGAAATAAAAGACTCCTAGTCTACATTAAGGTATCTGTTTACATTAAGTATCTATGAGAGTAATATAATTATCAAATGAATGTAGTGTGAGTGCGTATTCCAATGTATATTAATATGAAGAGACATTGAGCTCCTTGCCGTAAGGGTGCGGGCGGTGCTCGTTTATATTTTATCGCATCCGTGCCCCGGTCAGTACCAGAATGGCGGACCTTTATGTCGGCTATTTTCTGCTACAATGCGCAGGAATTCCCCATTTCGATGATACCTTATACATTTCAAGCGACAATTTTTAAAAGTATTGGATATTTTTATTTTTTAATAAAAATATTGATATCCGTACTAGTACTTAATATTAATATTAATACGAAACTAAGATTGTTTGAGAGAAATAACAATCATTTACTTCTAGTATTTTAAACATGCTATAATAGTTACTACCCGCGCCTTTGTCTCCTTTTTTTAGATAAAAGATAACCTATGTCTGTTATCGTAAAACAATTTATTTTCATGTCATTTCAGTTATGAACGGTTGAAGGTATGTTATACTATAAAATAGACAGACAGACAAACACTTTTATAACATAATATTCATATGAAATTGTAAATACATAAAAAATGGACAAAACCAATGTCACTAAAAATAACCATAAACAGTGGGTACTTTTTAAAAATATAAAATAATTTTAAAATCTGCGTTTAAAATGAGAATTGAATTGGCTGCCAACTGAAATACAAATAAGTACGTCAAAGGATCGCACACCTAACATATTTCACCCAGGGCGGGGCATCCGGTCAGTTCGAAAATGCCCCTCCGTGTCGACCATTTTACACTCGGTTGCCCTCGAATCCCCGTTCCACTATTGAGTTATGTTTCATACTTGCGACGTGAAAGTACGGTATTTCACTACTCGGGGAAAATATTCAGATACCTGTGTGGATTTACGATTACTTTCGTTATTAATTGTCCGATTTGATTTGTAGGTTTTGTGTAATGTTCGCTGTTAGTGAAAATTACTGTTTCGACTGTTGTTTTTGTATCATAAATAATATTTTGAATCTGAATAAGATAAAACCGTAAATACCGTACATAATTAGCGTACCGTAAATAATTACATATTCGTTGGCTAAACATATATAGAGTCACGTGGGGCAAGTATGCGCAGCGAGTAATTGTACGCACTCGAAGTATTTCAAAAACGGTTTATAACTTAGTTTAAGGCTATACTTAGTGCAAGTTTGTCACTGTCCGTCGGTGAATCATTTTGTTTCCGTAAGTGAGTATTGCTTTTTGCTTGAATTATTGCGATTTTTGTCTTAAATGAGAGACTCATTCCTTTGTAATATATTTATATTTTGAAATTATGCTTTATACCATCGAACAGTACATTTTATGTAATATAAGCTTGTTTAATGTTTGGTGATGACGATTACGATTATATTGCTCAGTTCTGGTTAAATTTTATTTTGATGGTTTGGGGCAAGTGTGCGCATACGAATGTCGGGTAAGTGTGCGCATGCGAATTACCCCGCTACGCTTTGGCTTTGTATTTATGATGCAATTTGTTATTTCAGAGTTTAATTATACATAAAAAATGCCTCGATTATAAAAGAAAGATGCCGGATAGAAGTGTTGTCACAGAGGAACAGCTAGAAGCTGTTAAAAGATTAATTTCGGAGGTTGGCAGCAAACGACAGTGTGGCACCCGCTATAATGAGTGTACCTTCGTCTAGGAATGAATATGTACGACTGTCATCCATCCAAGAAATGCCGAAGTTGGCCTTAGGCATTTCTTGGATGGATGACTGTGATTCAAAATCGGCGAAAGAAAGGCAAAAAGTCAATCATTGATACTGTAAGTTATTATAAAGTAGAATTGGAAAAAAGAAAAAACAAGAGGAAGAATAAATTGCCAAAAAAGAAGATACGACTTGATCTGAAAATAAATAAAATGATGAGCAGGAATTATTTTGCCCACTGTGTGGAGAAAAATACATATTTTCACCGAATGAAGACTGGATCCAATGCAGCATCTGTAAGAGCTGGTGGCATGAACAATGCAATAACTTTGAAAAGGAAATATTTGAACGATTTCCTATTTTCTGGTTTATCGTATGAACTTTGTGTTAATGTTGCGTATTACCCGATAATTATTTATTTTGTACGTTTAAGTTTTTTTGATTTCCATTTGTGTAAATATAATTTATATATTATAAATATTTTATATAATAAACCTTGTTTTGTTCCAGTTAACTTCAAATATTTTATTATATGATACTTCAAACCTTAAGTACGTACACTTGCCCCACGTGACTCTAATATATATCTACCAAATTAATCGTTATTATATTAATAAGTCTAATGATATCATCATTTTTTTGACGACCTCGGTAGTCTAGCGGTCTAGCACACCGCTTTACGACCAATGGTCGTGGGTTCGATTCCTCGCAGCCACAAACATTTGTATTCATGAATATGATTGTTTGTATCGGTCTGCGTGTTTTCTATGTATAATATGCATGTATTTACAAAAAAAAACTATGTATATGTATCAGTTATCTAGTACTCATAACACGAGTTTTAGCTAGCTTAACTTGGGTCTAGATGGCGCTGTGTGAATTGTCCTGAGATTTTTTTTTCTTACATATACTGACAATTTTGTTTGTGTAACTATATAAAACATTTTAGTATGATTTCCGAGCGATATAAATATTTGTATTCTTGAGTATCATTGTATTTAACTTGCATATTTTCAATTTCTATTATTCACATGTGCGTATGTTTACAAATAATGTTTTTAAGTAATATTATTGTAATATTATGAGTGTATAACAATTCAAGATTAGGGCTAAAGAATTAATAGTACTCATAGTTTATTTCAAAGCTTATCTTAATTTTACGCCTTCGCAACTCCGAAAGAGATACGAATATTTGATCTGTCTAGGGAGCCTGATAGCATCTACAGGGCGACATTAATGTGATGGAATATAAAAAAGGAAATAATTTCTCAAAGGAAACATTACTCAACAATTTGCGAGCACATTCACAATGACAAGAGATATGTATCTAGATGTGCATTGCTGTGAATAAGTAATCAAAGTGGAATTTTCGTTTGATTATTATGAACATTCTTACAGAACATTGTGTCCAGAACAGTTTATATATTTAACTGATAGTAGTGTGTTATACGCGCTTACGTTTGTAGACCACTCTCTCTAGTTTGTGGCAAAATGACAACAATAAATAAAAAATCTGTACCATCATGCGTTAACATATATTTTATCCATTTTTACGTAAAGATAAAAAAAACAATAAATATAAGAAAAACATGTTGAATGCATACAATTGTTAATATTGATATAAACTATAAGATTAATAAGAAATAAAATCTAATCTATTCATTCTATTTCTATTTCTATTATTTCATACCTGTTTAGATTACTTTACGAAGTACGCTGTAAACTGTGATCTAGTCATTCTCACTAGATCAATGGAATCCAAATTTGTATGAAAAATAATTATCATTATAGTCAGTTTAATCAAATAAAATAATAGTCACGAAACTATTCATTTCAACGTGTTCTAAATGAGAAAGGTATGATAATGTAATTTTCTAACAAGAATTTA